GCAGAAGCCTTCCTCAAGCCTCTGGGAGGCCGAAAAAGGCCTCAAACCAGCCGAAAATCAGCTGTGAGGGACGCGCACATGCGCAGTGAGGTAGGTTTGCCTGCAGCTCGCGTGCCAGCACAAATGGCTCTGTGTCCCAACTGTGGCATGCGTCCATAGGTTCGCCATCACAGGTATAGGGTGTCCTGCTTGAGCAGGGGGCTGGACTAGAAGACCTCCAAGGTCCCTTCCAGCTCTATTCTGATTCTGATGGGAGACATGTACGACCCCCATGTGACAATCTGTGCCCCCTCTCTTCCAGAATGGCCTCAGGTTGACAATCTCTGACATTTGCCGGGGTGTTAAGGGGAAATGCAAGGACTTTTTGACCCCAGACACATTCAGTTTCATCCATAATCTGAAGGTGTTGTTGAAATTTGATTTCTCGCACAGCGAACCAGAACAACCTGCCAGCTTTGACGGGGCCCCAGAAGAACAAGTTGAAGCATTTGACCATTGTCAGCTTAGCTTCCAGAATGAAGGTAAAGTAGAAATGCACTCAATGTTGAAAAAAAAAAGTTATTTTCTGCAGGCAGAGCCAGTGGCAGACATGCATGCAGAGGTCACCATGGGGGCTCTGCTCTGTTCCACTGAAAACTAGAAGTTTTAGAATAGTCGCCCGTTTAGGACTTCAGTAGATAAATAGACAAATTGGGCCAAATTGGAACTTATGGATGCCCTTCTCTCTAGCATTTGGGCATGGACCCATTAGACTTCCTCCCTCCCTCCCTCCCTTCCTTCCTTTCTCTTTTTTCTTTTTCTTCTTTCTCTCTTTTTTCTTTCTTTTTATCTCTTTTTCTTTCTCTTTATTCCTCCCTCACTCCTTTTCTCTCTCTTTTTCTTTCTCTTCCTTCCTTTCTCCATCTGTCTCTCTTTCTCTATCTCTCTTTCCCTTCTTTCTCCCCCTCTTTTTCTTTTTCTCTTTCTCTTTTTCTCTCTCCCTTCCTTCCTCTCTCTGTCTCTTTCTTGGTCTCTTTCTCTCCCTTGCTCTTTCTCTCTCTCTCTTTCTCTCTCTCTCTCTCTCTTTCTTTCTCCTTCATAGGGCGATTGGGTATTACACATAAAACCATAAAGACACAAAAGCCATATTTAAATATTACAATAAAAACAGTTAAACACAAGAATAAAATAAATTAAAATTAAAAGGTCAGAGGAGGGCTTCAGGGTGCTAACCAGCCTGAAGCATCTTTCCTTCCTAGTCGAGGTCAAGATCTGCATGGCCAGCTTCTCCGCTTCTCAGTGAGAGAAGTCACTCTATCCACTTGATCCCCTCCGGATGTATTGAGATCAAAATGTTTACCCCACCCAAGCATGGAGTTGTAGTTCCAGGACAATGGAAGACTTGAGGCAGCTTTAGATTCCTGTAAACCGCTGTTTTGTTGTGGATTGATTTCAGGGAACTCAGGAACTTGGGTGGGGAAGAAATTCCAACTTTATTTTCACTAGCTACTGACCGAAATTTAACTCTGCGTTCCACAGAATGCAGGCAGCGAAAGAATACATGGTTGTGCCACTCTGAAAATGCTTCTTAGCTTTAATAAATCTCACTATCTAATATTTGAATTAATTTTTTTAACATTTTGAGAACTGTACTCAAATTTCCTTTAAAATACAAGCATTAATTGTATACATTGTTTTCTGCATTTAAATGCAATTTCTGGACAAGATGTCTCGGGCAGAAAACCCAGCCAGCCATTGGGGGAAGGTGGTGTGTGTGTGTGTGTGTGTGTGTGTGTGTGTGTGTGTAGATTACAGCAAAAGTGTTACGGCTTAAAATTATAATAGGTGAGTGCGAGATTTATAAGCAGCAGTGGGATTCAGCCACTTTGGCCCAGTTTGGGCGAACCGGATGTTAAATTTATATCTGGTTCACCGAACCGGTAGTTGAACCGACTGGCTGGCCCTATCTACCCCTCCCCTCCCCTCCTAGGAGTCTCCACGTGGCCCGTTTTGGATGCAGGTAAGTGCAGGGCCCCCATGGGGTCTTGGGAAGGGTGAAAAACAGCCCTTCCATAGGTTCTGGGAGTCCAGGAACGGGCTGTTTCCGGTTTCCGGAGCCAGGGGGAGGCCATTTTCGCCCTCCCAGAGGCCCGAGGGAAGCCTCTGGATTCCGGGGAAGGCAGAAAATGGCCCTCCCGGAAGTTCCAGTAGGCCACACCCACCTAGCAACTGGGCAGCAAACCGGTTGCTGGGATTTTGGAATCCCACCCCTGTTTATAAAGCCACTTTTTTCCCCAATGGTGTTGTACTTTTGAACGGTCACTAAATGGACTGTCGTATATCGAGGACGAGGGCTTTTGGCTTCACTTCCGGCTGTTCCTCCCCCTCCCCAGTGCATCCCTTATTCAGTGCTGCTGAAAGACCTGGACATGCGGAACCTCCGGGAGCTGGAAGACCTGATCATCGAAGCCGTTTACACCGACATCATCCAAGGCAAACTGGACCAACGGAACCAAGTGCTGGAAGTGGATTTCTGCATCGGCCGGGACATTCAAAGGAAAGACATCAGCAGCGTCATCAAAACCCTCAACGAGTGGTGAGCTGTGCCTTTCTCTCCCTGCCTCCCTCCGGCCCAACAGGTTCTGTTTGTGGGGGCGTCTCCCCTCTCCCCCAATTCAGGCAGCGTTGCCGCTTTCCTGCTCCGTCGGTGACGGTGTGAGTTTTGTGTTGGCAGGTGCGATGGGTGTGAAGCTGTCCTGTTGGGCATCGAGCAGCAGGTACTTAGGGCCAACCAGTACAAGGAGAACCACAACCGAACTCAACAACAGGTAGAGACGGAGGTAAGTGTCTTATAAGGGCCGTAGTGGCGCAATGTAATTAGTTTATGGTATTGCAGGCTGACTCTGCCCACGGCCAGCAGTTCGATCCTGACCGGCTCAAGGTTGACTCAGCCTTCCATCCTTCTGAGGTCAGTAAAATGAGGACCCAGATTGTTGGAGGGTGACTCTAAAGAGGGTGACTCTAAAGCACTTAGAGAGGGCTGGAAAGCACTATAAAGCGGCATATAAGTCTAAGTGCTATTGCTCTCCTTCCCTCCCTCCCTCCCTTTCCTTCCTTTCCTCCCCCCTCCCTTCATTCCTTCCTTCAAGCCATGTGGCACAGTGGGTTAGAGTGCAGAGTTGCAGGCTAATTCACTGCCCACAGTCAGGAGTTCCACCCTGAATAGCTCAAGGTTGACTCAGCCTTACAAGTAAAATGAGGAACCAGATTGTTGGGGGCAAGAGGCTGACTCTATAAACCGCTTAGAGA